TATTGTTGAGTGGCTCTTAGCATGACTGAAATGCTGAACAATTACTTTTTGCAGTGGGTGGTATAAGTAGCTCTTTATTGTTTTGAGTTAAGGTTGTAATGCAGCTTATCTTTATTGTTATGGGTGATGGTTACTAGATAATGTTTATTATATCCAATATTTTTAACAGTAAGAATTTTACCTATTCTATGATATAATTTTCTTTTAGGCAAGTTGAAACAAACAAAGAAACTTCATTGTATAAAGTATTTAGAACCAAACATATTTCATATTTTTGTGTAGTTAATTTTGTAATAAATCATCACATAGATATTATTTAAAAGTAATCTCTTTTTTTTTTGGTTGGATTAGTTATCACATGGTTTAATTTTCAGAACAGGATAGATTATCAGAAGTTCCAGGTGTTTCTTTAATGCTTCAGCAGCTCCTCCTAGTGTTAACAGAGTGTATTGCTCAGTCCAAAGAAACCATATCTCGTCTAGGCTGTGCATGTATTAGGTGAGCCAAACAGTTTTATTCAAATCAGTTAACCATGCATAGTAAATGCAAGTCTATTGCAAATCTCCAACACTGTTGAAACAATCAATAAATGGTTTGATTGTGGGTGTATATCAAATAATTTTTATATGTTATTACAGTTTTATAAAACAATTGTTGGTTTGTACCAGACAAATTTAAGTGTTTCCTTACTATGATACCAGAATTAATGGTGTTCCTATCAGGTCAAATGTATGACTTGCATTATACTGCTCTAGCAATAAAATTAACGGCTTATTTATGACATTTTGCTAGTATCAGAGTCTATAGTCAAGTAAGTATGTGACTGAATTACTGTAAATAAGAAAGAATATATATATATATATCAGATTTTTGGATATGTGCTAACTATTGTAGTTGAACATTTAATATCTTTCATTTACAATATTTATTAAGATTAGAACTTTTCAGTGTTTTATGTGTTGTGTTTATAAAACATTAAAAGCACGCAGTATTAGTTTAGATAACTTAAAAGTTTTATTTATTTCAGATCACCCCTATTCTTTGTTCTCAAAAATTCTGGCTCTCTGAACTAAGTTAATTAGCATAGTATCAAAAGTGTTTCAAACATATTTATCATTAAAATTATGAGTTTGTTTTTATATATCACTTGCTACTGGTTAAATCCACATATTGTACAGATATTAGGAAAAAAGTTTATCCTAAATAAAGAAAA